GTTGGCTTCAGTAAGAGCAGTCTTCAGCTTGAAGTTCTCCTCTTGCAACTTGTTAACTGAGGCCAGCTTCTTATCGACAAGTGATGTTTTCTCTCGCGCCTCCTTTTGTGCTGCGGCAAGATCTTGATCCTTCTTCTCCAGAGCCTGCTTCATTTTTTCTAAAGAAATAACATTCTTCAGACGAGCTTGGAGTTGACGGTTTTCACTACGCACATCTGTTCGAGTGGACTCACTCAGTTCAAGAGATTAAACGGAAAAAATTCATAAGGCGGACAGTCGACGAATTATTACCTCCCATGGTAGTTGCTTCTTCCTGGGCCTTCTGGAGATTATTCTTGGTCAGCTCCAGGTCGAGGTTGAGGCTGATCTGTTTCCTCTCCAATTCAGCAAATTGGGCTCCGAAATCACAAGATTTCTGCGGTCAACAAATAAGATGTGTCAGTCGACAAAAACAAAGGTCAATCACAGCGAAAATTGCTCTAAGAATACCGCCGAATCAAACATTCAACAGTAGTCTCAGGGAATACACCTAGTGGGTGCACTTGGGGTGCCCCCACTGGTCCGGTTTTCCACTCAGCATGGTCTGCCCAACATGAGTATGCAAAAGAGAGAGACAGACAGAGAGAGAGAGAGAGAGAGAGAGAGATTCTCAGACCCCAGCCGACTACCAGCAGTCGACCGCGGTCTCAGGGACTACACCCAGTGGATGCACTCTTCGTGCCCCCACTCGTCTAGATTCCACTCGGATCAAGCTATACAACCGAGTGAAAGAACAATGAAATGGCATTCGACAAAGACCCCCGCCGCATCAAATATCCGACGGCGGTCTCGGGGACTACACCCAGTGGGTGCACTTTGCGTGCCCCCACTGGTTCAGAGATACACTTGACTCAACTTGGTCGACTGAAGTAGAAGGACTATTCAACACTAAGTCAAAACACCCAGTGGGTGATTGGATGCAAAATGCAGACTCATGATAGATGCACATAAAGGTTCCAAAATGCTCATCGAGGGACATCTTACAGACAATGAAGCAGCAGTTACAACTACCACATCGTAGCAAGGCAAAAATCAAATTGAGAGATCAGTCGGAAATCAACCGACCTTGACATTAACATGCAGAGAAGAGTTGGCATTATAGGCAGCCTGGCTGCCCTCATGCACCACCTTCATCTGTTCCATCATAAGGTTTGCTTGGAGTATGGCTTCCTTGGCGGCACCCGTCGGGTCATCTGAGTGTGATCTGCAGCAAAGAGCGACGATGGCAGTACAGACAGAGCAATCACAGGATCTAAAGCATGAAGCTGTGCAGGCGAAGCAGAGACTTGAGCAATCGACGCGAGGTACAGTCGGTCGATACCGGATTGGCTAAAGAAACATTGGCCCGAGCCGGATCTCCGAATCGCTGGACCATCGTCTCCGGCGCTGATGTCGATTGAGGCCCCTGGCCTACGGCCGTCCTCCCGCTTGAAGCCCTGCCCCTCCTTCCCGTATTTTTCAGAGGCACTTCTTCATCGCCGTCTTGAACCTCAATGATGTCCCGCAGAGCTACAACAAAATGCAACCATAAGGGCTCAATCGACCGACAATCTAGTCGACAAAACAAGTTCTAGATTGCAGGATCGTACCAGCCTTGGAAGTAGCCGCGTGGTCAGTCTCTTCATCATCTTGAGCCTCGTCAATATCCATGGAGGTCCCGGAAGTTGTGGCACTAAAAAATTCATAATCCACTCGGTCAGAGAAGAAGTATGAGTTAGTAGGAAGACACAGAATGACAGAACACTCATGCAGAAGCGACTGGAACGTCCATCTTGATCCTGGGCAAGGTCTTCTGAGGCTTCGAAGGGGTAACCATGGGCTGCTTGGCGACCTTCTCTAATGGCTCCAGAGTCGAAGTCTGAGTGCTCTTGTGCACTTGCATGCTCGGAGCCACAGCCTTGTTGCGCCCGCCCGCTAGATCATAAGACTGCTTGGATCGGTGCTCCGTACAGGCGGTGAGTCGACCTCCTCTTCTTCATCATCCGACTCATCACTCTCTTCCTCATCATCGTCATCAGGATATTGCCAGTCAACGCTCTCTTTGGTGCTAGCTGCTCCCTCCTAGGCTTGCTCTCCGTTCGGCATCGAATACATCTCAGTATAAACCTTCAAGGCAAAAAGTTAACCAAACATCAGTCGGGTTCAGAGACAGTTGCAACGCAGAATGAAGTACACTCGGTGATAAGGATCAGACCTTGTCTGGCTGGTTGTCGGCATCGAATGGATCGACTCTCCTGGCTCCCTAGGGGTTATCTTTGTTTCCGGTAATGCTCTTCAGCCACAGGGCCACCGTCTCGTCAAGGACCTCCTCTGGGTGGACCCGAGCGGTGTCGTTGGAGCCAGAATACATCCACATTGAATGATCACGGGCTTGGAGAGGCTGGATGCATCGACTGAGAAACACTTCCAGTAAATCCATGCCAGTAACATGCTAACGGACCAACTGAACTCCCCTCTTGACTAATATGTTCGTCTCCGCTTTCTCCACCGCGGTCACAATCAGTGAAGATGGTTGCTGGGCTCGATCTAGGGTAAAGGGAGGAAGACCGTTCGACTGACCGGGGGTCGCAATGTCCTGGCAGTAGAACCAGGTCGACTGCCAGCCCCTAACTGACTCAAGAAGTGTCATAGGGGGGAAAGTGCTCCTCTTCCTCATCTGAATCCCCAAACCCCCGCACATCTGGATCACGTGCGTCCTCTCGTCACTCGGATTTGCCTTCTTCACGGTTTGGGAATGGACTATGAAAATATGTTTGAAGAGACCCCAGTGCAGTCGACAGCCCAAAAAAATTTCGCACATAGAGACGAATGCAGCAAGATATGTGATGGTGTTGGGAGAGAAATGGTGAAGTTGAGTACCGAAAAAGTTCAGAAAACCCCGGAAGAAAGGATGCGGGGGAAGGGAGAAACCACAGTCGACATGGGTGGCAAGGAGGACACAGTCACCCGCCCGCGGCTGAGGCTCTATCTCGTCCCCCGGCAGCCTCAAAGTCCCAACGGTGATCAAGATCGTGGTGGCCAGATCTTCCAGATCCTCTGGCCGGAGCGTGGATTGGATCCAGTCTCCCTGAATCCAACCAGGTGGCAACCCGGACCTCGACGACGATCCCCGATTCATTTTCTTGCCCTTTGTCATCGCCGTCACTTTCTTCGCGCGCTCCAGTGCCGCCATCTTATCCTTCACCATGGTGGCGGGCTGCGCACTGGCAGAGCGGTAGCGTCGAGGGCGAAAGAGGACGCGGTGGAGAAGCAAAGGAAAAAAGAAGGGGAATGGGAGCGCACTGTGCAGATGCATCGGCGTCGACGCCATTTATGGGCCTACTTCTGAGTGGCTGGCGCGTGGGCCCGAGCGATCCTGTCAAATCCCGCAATAGTCGTGCATCGGATACGTGGCGAAAAAGGCGGCGCGGAAATCGAGGCTCCCCTGCCTATCTGTCCCGTTTACTGCGGCGCGCTCCGCCTCGCGCGCTTCCCCAAAATTTTGAATCCCATGAGATCCGGGAACCGCAGTAACCAAGCGCGCAGAAGATCTCGCACCATAGCAACACTTAAAGATTGCCAACATAAGTTCACTCGATGACCTCTGAATTGATCAAGGTGACTGAAATGAAGCCGAAGTTTCAGAAGAGACCTCGAACTCGGTATGAATGCTTGTGTAGCACAAGAGTCAAGGCAGGGTCAACTTCAACTTTCTTTTCACGCGGACCTCAATCCATTCGGAGGCTAATGACGATGTCATAGACCTAGGGTAGGGTCATAGACCTGACCTATACGCCCTACCCAATGTCACTGCCCTAGAAGCAAGGACATTGAAAACACAACAGGAAGTGTCGACTGAGGCCATTGAGTGCAATCCACTCGACCAGTCACCTCACTCGGATACCCCCAATTTCACTCGACCTGGATGGAGTCATTCGACCATACAGGAAACCACCCGGAGTACAAAAGACCTAGAGTCATTCAGGATAGCAACGATCAGGCATTCACTCCGTAGTCTTAAAGATCATTGATGGCACTTTATAGCTGGCGTTACCAGTAATGCCCTACCTTAATGTACATTGAACCCCTATAACGGAGGACTGCTGGGGTCCTGGTGCACTCTATATAAGCCACCCCCTCCTCTGGCGCAAGGGTTCGCACCCCTTGTAACACACACCCATATTTCAGTCGACCGCCTCAGGGCACCGAGACGTAGCGCTTTTACCTCCTCCGAGAGGAGCCTGAACTCGTAAACTCACGTGTATAACCTCGCCATAGCTAGGGTCTCGCCTCCTCATACGTACCCCCTATTCTTATTGTCAGACTTAGTACCACGACATGCCTCTGTCGTTTTCAAAGTTGTATGTCCAGGTTGTTTCGGAAAAGAAAAAAAAAACTGTATGTCCGATTTATTTTTCTTATTATGGATAAAGGACATTTTCATTCAATTGATATGTCGAGGCAATACAACTACGCTAAGCGAATGTCCGGCCTCTGCATCCCACGATGCACACAACAAGCCCAACCCAATCAACACGAGTAAGCTGTATGTTCGGTCCACTTACTCGCTGCACAGACTGTTGATGACTAGTGAGCTGACACTCAGTTCGGCTGCTACCATAAGTTCCAAGTCTGGGCATATGAAAAACCATATCTCATAAATAAAATCCTAAACTAGTTTTATATACAAAGCCCCCAAGACCTGAAAAGCAAGCTCCCATGTCAAGAAAATTTTGACGCGGCTAAACATCAACAGGCCTCAAAAGGATCCCAAGGGTATCCTTGTGCCAGAATCAGCAGCAGCTCGAAACAGGCCACACCAACCAAAAGAATGAAAGAATGATATGATAAATCCAGCAGAGAGCACTTCGCCAAACGGTCCCTTGGGCGCAGCTCATGATTCGCACGTTTGATACGCAAGCCGTGCATGCAACGATCATCTCTTCCTCTCGGACAGACAGTGCTCGCATTTCTCGCCATCGTCATCGCACGTTGCAGCAATGGGTGCTACCGGACTGCAACTTTCTCCACAGACAGATCATGTGCTGGGGGGACTGATAGTGTGCGGTGATGTAACCATCGAAGCAACCAGCCTGGTAGAACCTCACGTCGTGCCGATACTCTACTGGCCGGCGAGTGATGTTGAATTTCTCCACCCACATGCCCATGTTGACATCTTCCATCTTAAATAGCTGCACAATAAAGAATCAACAATTTAGCCATCACCACTTCTGCACGACGTGAGTAACATTCAGTGGCTAGGAATTGGACAGCGTCCAAGAGATAGGCGTTTACCCGAAGCGTCTGATTGTCAAATTCAGATACGATGTAGCGTGCAATATCTGATGAGATCACATAGCCAGGCCCATTGGCATAACTTGGGTAAGCCTCCTCTGGCCATTCCTGGAAAGAAACAAGAAAATTATACTGATTAAGATGCCCTTTCGATATACCAAAAACAGGGAGATGAACAAGGACAGCACAAAGTACAGAACACCAGATTTTGTTTTCACAAGATTATATATCCATGTTCCAAGTATAAAATATGAACGCACGACCTTTGACTCACCAGAGAAATGTAAAATCCACTTTTGATACCAAGTTATTTCTATAACGCACATATTCAAGCATATATAAATTAGTACAAGAACTTAAAACTGAACCGTGTTGATCCCATAGTTTTTACACCTCTTGCACAAAGAGTTTTTCCATGTAAAACAATATGTCGACTGCGGATATTGATTTAATCATTCCAGCAACTATCCTCATAATTCACTACAAGATTTGCGCTTTTGATGTGCCTGCTAATTTGCGCAGCAAACAGCATAATGGTTTTCACAGATAGAATACCAGGTGCTGGTTGGTAATCGATTGATTGCTTGTCATTTGCCAGTAAATGGAAACACGAGTGTGCTATTTGGTTGTATTTTTCATTTCACATTTCTTAAGCAATATAGATGATGAATGGTGGTTCTGTAATACAGGACAGCAATTTACCTCATAAGTCACAGCCCACTTGCCAGATCTCAGTGGTCTATGGTAGTAGTTGATGCTTCCCACATACACACTCTTATCGCTTTTAACTTTCTTTATTTGGTCCAGTACGGAATCAATTCTAACAAATGTATCATCATCACATTTCATTACATACTTTGCTGGGATGACTCGAACCTGGATAAACACGACCGTTAAGGAGTATAGAAACGTCAATGAAACTGGCGTAAGACAATACGGCAGAACATAAGCAGTTATCTGGCATATTTCAGTTCACTTACCCCATACTCCGCAATGGCAATGGTCTTCAAAACAACAAGATCATAACTATCCATGAAAGGCACTATGACGATGTCTTGGAAGAACTCTGCCTCCCTTTTCAACTCTGCATTGACCTCCATTTTACCGTTCTGTGAAATTGCTTAATTTGGTCAGAGTTTGGTATATGCAAACAACAAGCAAAAACATGAGAAAAGCAAGTATAATTACCAGAGCCACAAAGAACCGAGCTACAATATTAGATGATTTTCTTGTATACATCATCCATGACTTGCGCACAGCCATACGTTCGGCAAAATGGCTCGCTGCAGACAGAATGCCAATAAAAAGCTCAACAGGTTCAGTTGGTAGCGGTGGGGCTCTCCATTGCTCAGACATTTCAAGGTATCTCTCTGGGGAGAAACTAGGATGTGAACTGGGCAGAGAACTAGCAAAAATTGACTCAATATCGATGTCTCCATTGATAGACAACCCAGTTGCATCCTCAAGAGTGTAACCCTGTTGAGACCACCAAAATCAGATATGCAGATCTCAGGAGGCTACTCATGTAATTGAACCAGATTTGGGATGCCAGGATTTTCGACCGACGAACTTACAGTGCGGTAAGGAAATGAAGTGACATGCCTCCCATCAACATTGACATGGTAACCTTCCAAACCAGCTGTGAGAGTCAAAACAAACAGCTTGCCTTCTCCGAATGGGTATGGCCAACTGATGTGCACATCCTTTGACCTACCAATTAAACGTTTCACCCACCACTTCATCTTTGACTCCTCCGACTTGTTGTCATCATCCCGAATCCATTTCTCACACTTGAGCTGAGCATCAACTGAAAGATCAAACCACGTCAACACGCCATTTTTACACAGAAACATTGGTATGTATGATGCTTGAAGTAAAAGAAAGCCCGATTTCAACTCATTTTAGAATGATTTGGAAAAAAGGGAATGGATGTGTTGCAGAACGAAGAAAATGCCTACTTCTAACCCAAATTAGAGAAGCTTCGCCAAACAATGAGAATAATTGCTGATCTAACTTGGTTGCAACCAACTAATGGAACAATCAGACTAGATATGCATAACTAATTAAGCACTCAATTATTGTGATCTTCCTTCAGTGATTGGCTAAGAAGAAATGGGAACAGGGAGTTCAAGTACCCACCGCCAGGTTGAAGTCAAACTCACATCATTGCTGTAATCCTCAAAACACGGTTGCAGGTCCATGCTTCTTTAAATTTCATAAATAATATATTCCACCAATTTGACAAATCAAGCACAATCACTATCAGAAACGTTCTCCATGAAGCAAAAAAAAAAAAAAAAACTGAACCCTCTCTAGAAATTTCTTGCCAAAGTTTGCACTTTTCTCTACGCTGTTAGTACTACACACAATTAGACCACTGAAACTGATGGAATCCCTTCCTAATTCCTACCAACTTCAATCCAATCCTCTTAAGATAACGGAAGAACACGAGATGGCAAGATGAAGTCAAATTAAATCAACATGGATTCAACCTAGCTAAACGAATTAAGCAGGCGAATCTGAAGCTCACCGGTTTCCTCGGCGGGGCGGGAGGCGAAGCCCTCGCAGCGGTGCGACTGCGCCCACTGCATCCTGTAGCAGCTGTTCATCTCAATCACCGGCTTGCCGCTGTAATCCCCGCGGATCCTGGGGTTGAAGTGGAGGATCCTGGGCGGCGCCTCGCCGTCCACCACCTTGGTGCCCACCAGCTCCACCATGAACTGCGACACCATGAGCGGCGTCTTCCCGCCGTCCTTGCGCTGGGCGATCTTGGGGTCGTACTCGGGCCGCGCGGGCCGCGGGCGCGCCACCACCGTCACGTGCGACCCCACCGCCAGCCCGCAGGGGAGCTCCACCGTCCGGACCCCGTCGGCGGGGAGCTTGTCCGCGTGGAGCGAGATGGAGGCCGGGCAGATCGGGGAGGCCGGGGGCGGGGACGCGGCGGACGCGGACGCGGATGCGGCGGTCTGGAGGTGCGCAAGATGGGGCCTTGCGGCGGAGAAGGCGTCGGCCGCGGCGCCGTCGAAGGGGGTGGCCGTGGCGTTGGACCTGGGGAGGAGGAGGAGGGAGGAGAAGATGGGGAGCGGCGGCGGGGAGGACGGAGAGGGGGACACGGCCGCGGGGAACGCGGGCCGGAGGGGGGAGAAGCGCGAGGAGGGGAAGGCCGAGGCCTCGAGCTCGCGGCGGCGCGAGCGGTGGGTGGTCAGCGCCCCTGAGGCTGAAGACGACGAGGATGGGGATGAGAACGGGAGCTCGAAGAGGAGGAGGAAGGCGAGGTAGGCCGCTCCGGCGACGGCGAGGAGCGCGCGGCACAGGCGCCGGCGCGGCATCGTGGGGTTGGTCGGTCGGGTGCCGGAGCCGGAGCAAGGTTCTGGAAGGCGGCGGAAGGGGCGAGAAAGTAGCCGTTTGGGAGGACGGGACCATGTGCTAGCTAGCTAGCGGAGTACTTATTGCTTCTCCGACAGCACTCCGGCGACCAGACCGTTGCGAGGGTGGGGTGGGGGTGGGCTGGCGGTGGTTCGGTGCGGCGCACGCAACAGCAAACACCCAACATAAAAAAATACTCCCTCCGTCCGTCCGGAAATACTTGTCATCAAAATGAATAAAAGGGGATGTATGTAGATGTACAGAACTAGCGGCTCGGGACTCAACTAGAAGGCCAATCTCATGAATTAAAACAATTAAATTAATTTGTAAGGCTCATTGTCTCGGCCCCCACGGAACTTAAAGCACCTATGGACCTGCATGAGAGGGACCGGCCGTTTTTGACAAGCCGGACTCACTCAAGCCATGCGTGCCCGTTGTCTACATGCATTAGAAAGCGCGGGAGATGACGGGACGACTCATAACTCCCGTTCTCTCTAATCACCTCCCACGCTCATTCACACCACACTCTCTCCCTCTTCCTCGTCGCCCCTTCGGTCTCTTCAATGGCAGAGCCACAGCCGCGCTTCCCCATCCTCGTCCTCGCTGGCAACAACGTCATCTAGGGCAGGTGGGGTTGCTGGCCTCGCCTCTTCCGATAGGGACCTCATGACGACAATTCGGGGGTTGTCCCCCTTCTTCACCAGGTCACATGCACCCGCCATTGCCCTGCCCACACCGTGTGCTCTCGCTCCACCTCCGGTTTCGGACCTAGTCATCTTGGGTTCGGCGACAACCAGGGATCGAACCCCGTCGGTTGCGATGACGGCAGCCCAGGCGGGTAGGTTTTTTACCCACATTCGAGGTTTTTCTCCCCTTGCTCTAATGCAATGCGAGGGGAGTGCGACAGGCGCATCGACGACAGCGCCCTCATTCTCCACCCCCGCATCACAAGGTCCACAACTACGTCCCTAGGAATGGCCGGCTCATCATCGGCGGCAGGACCCCTGCTTCCGCCAGGGTTTTCTCCGCGACCAGCCTACCTTAAACCGGCAACCGCTTTAGTAAGTGGTGATTTGTTCCCCGTGCTCATGTTAGTAGTTAGGGTTTTCTTGTTTAGTTGGGATTATGCTTAGGGCAATGCGAGATTGGTTGGGATTCGATTCGATTCGAATCCAAAAGAATTTTGCTTGAATCAGAGCAATGCTAGATTGCTACTACTTAGGGTGTTCATGCTATTGGTGCATTTGGTGGTGTTCTTGCTATAATTACAATGCTACATTGCTATTGCTTGGGTCTTCATGGTAGATTGGTACAATGTTACATTGCTACTGGTGGTGTTCTTGGTACAATGACATTGCTAGATTGCTACTGCTAAGGGTGTTCTTGCTCGGTTGCTGTTGTTGGTGTAGTTGTTGCTAGATTGGTTTGTGTGCATGATAATATAGTAGGTGCTACGTGCTTTCATGTTCAAGTAGGAGAATGCATGTGCATGCCAGTAGGACAAATGTGAATGCTAAAAATAGTAGTAGCAAAATTTTGAATCCATTTTGGCGTTTCTGATCATATCACTCATCGTTTGCAACTGCCACTGATCATGGGCAGTTGCAATGCCAATGATCATTACAACTTTTCTTACTTATCGCCACCAACAGAGGGGCGCATGTCTAGCCAAAGCCGACAATGCTGAGGACATCATCCCCACTAACTGCTGGCTTAGGAGGGCAGAGGTATCGGGCAGGGTAGCCGCCATGAGCCAGCCACTAGGCGTTGGTCGGAGGGCTCTCGACCACGAGGGAGGGGCACGAGAGACGATCAGGTTCTATGTGTAGATCAAGGACGAGAAAGATATCGCCATGCTGGTCATCCCGTCTGCCTTCAGGATAGTGATGAAGAAACGACTAGTCCTTAGCTCTCCTCGCATCGTGAGCCTCTCTGCCAACAAGTGTTGTGAGTTCTGGGTGCAAGTCTAGACATTTTAGGGGTAGATGATGCTCGAGAGGGGTTGGGACTACTTCTGCCGACGCCACATGATTGTCCCTGGCGACCTGCTCGTCCTGCGGCTCTCCAAGCTAGGCTTGGAGGTACAAGTCTACAATGCCTTCAGCTCAATCATGTGCAGGGTCGGGTGCCCGAGGCACAGCTGCCAGGGCAACATCCAGCGTGCTCTCTAGTTAGTCTTCCGTCTAGATCGTTCATAGTTGGTTCGATCGTCTGAACTTTTGTTGTGAAATATATAGTTTTCCCAAGGATCAGCACCCTGGGGTCGTGCAGGGGCATGGTATGCCCTGATGTCTTAAACTTATGTCCTACTACTATTATGCACTGCTTAATAGCGGCTAATGAATGTTATTCTTATGTATGTGCTATTGATTGTGTTGTACTGTTCTTATGTGATGACTGTTGTGAAGTGATGCAGTTGTATGGTAAGACCACCACATTTGAAAGGAGTGACCAAAACAACTACTTGCACGCAGCCAAGAAGTTGTGCTTTGCATCTGCTCACACTGAAGCACAAATGCATGCAACCAAACAGCAGCCCCTAATCTGGCCACTGATGAAATGCAGGCAGCCAAAACAACAGGCCCTAATATGGCCACTGATGCAATGCATGCAATCAAACATCACGCAGATGTTGGTTTTTGGCCTGCATTTTTTCAGCAAGGCCCAACTGGGACAAGTATACAAACTGACCAAAAGCGATACATGCAATGCACATGAAGATCCTAACCTCGAACAAAGCTTACATGCTTCATGTTGGCATTGGAGGCCACACCAACATCATGAAGAGGAGGTCAAAGGACCAAACTGCAAAGGGGAGCTAGTCATCAACACTAGCTCGACAAACCCTAACCTCACTGGCTAGAGAAGACAGTAAGAATCTACGAGCCACTGACACCATCCCAACAAACAACAACTAGATGGGGAATCTCAAGAAAACTTTTTTCATCAGATTGGCACTAGCGTCGCCACCAAAGAAGTGTCACCTCATAGCCCTAGTAAATGTGCCAAAGAAGAAAAATGACCGCTACATCCAACAGATCGTGAACTCTCCACACTCAACGAAATACGCACATGAAGATCCTAACCTTGAACAAAGCTTACATGCCTCATGTTGACATTGGAGGCCACACCAACATCATGAAGAGCAGGTCAAAGGACCAAACTACAAACGGGAGATAGTCATCGACACCAGCCCGACAAACCCTAACCTTACTGGCTAGAGAAGACAGTAAGAATCTACGAGCCACTGACACCATCCTAACAAACAACAATTACATGGGGAGTGTCGGTGTCAAAACCGGCAGATCTCGGGTAGGGGAGCCCAAGCTATATGTCTGAGGACCGATGGTAACCATGGACAAAGGACATAGTGTTTACCCAGGTTCGGGCCCTCTGAATGGAGGTAAAACCCTACTCCTGCTTGATTATATTCGAAGGGTATAGGGGCTACAAGAGTTGATCTACCACGAGATCGTGTTGGCTAACCCTAGATTGGCTAGCCTAGCAATGTTGTGTTCCTGCCTCCGATCTAACCCTCCGGTTTATATAGACACCAGAGGGGCTTAGGGTTGTACAAAGTCAGTTTAACAGAAAGTAAATAACATATACGGACACCTAAACTTTCCATCCACGCATACGGGAGTCCCTACCGGACAAGAGAGGTGATCTTCTGTCTTATATCTTGACGGCCCATCAGTCCGGCCCATATCCAATAGACCGGATGCCCGAGGACCCCCTAGTCTAGGACTCCCACAGTAGCCCCTGAACCAGTCTTCAATGACGACGTGTTCGGCGTGCAGATTTGTCTTCGTCATTGCGAGGTGGGTTCCTTGAATAGTACATCGTATTTCCTCCATAAAAGAATTGTATCCGGCTTTGCATAGTGAACACAACCCTTAGCCGCGAAGGCAGGATATATAAAAAATACGAATAGTGTCTTTTACTGACAACTTTTTTTTCGGCGAAGCGTCAGACTTGACCCTTTGATGTTTTGAACCTGTTTTTACATCCCGCGTTCCGTGTTTCGAGGCCACGCCCCATTGGCCCGTCCTGTCAAAACAGAGATCGTGCCCACTTAATACGGGATTGCTCATCAACAGAATTTGGGTAATCCAACCATTTACGACACACGCTTTCATTGGGAATAGGCGAGCTTCAAGGAGCAAGTGGGGGACGGTTGGCATTTTTACCGCCTATAAGAGGGCAATGAACTTCTCTTCTTTTCCCCACGCCTTCGAGTCTCCTCTGCCTTCCAATCTCCCTACTCTCAGTGCCCGAAAAGCTTTTGTCTTTCTCACCACCACCGCCACCTCCTCCGACCATGGCCGGATCCGGTTCCAAAGGCAAGTGGGAGGCCTCCTTCGTC